TAATATGCTGGATACTGCTGATAGCAAACAAGATATTGTCAGGGGAAGACCAATTCTTCCTTATAGGAGACCAACAGTACTAATTGAAGACTAGATATTGATGAAACAAGATTACTTACCGTTTGCACTTGACATAAGCGTGTCCACACGTGTTATCGGTACTATTTGACACTACGGTACTGTGAAAAGATTACGTATAGAAGCGATTTCTATTCTTAAATATCAGAGTGGATCATAGATTTTCAACAATCTTTTTATTTGCAATGCAAAGCTTGTAAAGTCTTAAATATGTATTCTTATAAGCTACAGCCGCTATTCAAATTAAGGGGATCATATAAAAATTGAACTCGAAAGCTTATCCCGTATTTTATGGACAGATGAGACCAAGATTTTCCTTAGGAATACCCAAAATGAATGTAATCAACATAAAGTTTCCATGCAATCTTCAAAAAAGTCTTTATAACATGAAAATCGCCATTTGGAGCTATTTTACAACTAATTTCATCATTCCTCCAAACTTTTTCGAGGATATACGGAATGGAGAAGCAATATATGTTACTGTTACATAATTGTTACTGGCGAACGATAGCTATAAATGTTAAAGAATTATGCAATTCCATAGTTGCAAAACAAGCACGAAGGAATTGAAAACATGATTTTTATCCAAACGGAGCACTCCCGCACATTTACTACCTTATTAAAGAATTGTTAACTAAGCCTTTAAGACATTCATTAATTTTACAAATTCCTAGCTTTATATTAACCTTATACTTTGTTTAAATTAATTATAAACAAACTTAACTATCCAGATTATATAAATTTGACACGAAAACATATAGATACACAAATGTATATTTTTCATATTCAATTATCCATTTCAATTCATTCATGTAAGAAAACATTTAAATGAGCGTAAAATATTACTCCTAATGAATTTCATTGATTTGTACTTAAAGATTGATGTGCGAGTGTACTACGAAGTGTGTTAGTTGGAAATAAACAAATTTTGTTGTGTGTTACCCAATTAGTTTAGATATAATTAATGGTGCGTTTTCAATTTCGAATGTCCTTAACGCAAAATCGGTTCCGCAACTTTCGAGACATTTACATTAATGTTTGAAATATCAAATTTCGCACGTGGTGACAAGAACGACCAATAAACGCGTGTCCTACATTCTATTTATGCAAGCCGTAGTTTTCACTCGATAACGCCTTTTTATTCGTCACTTTTACAAGTCTTGTTACACTGCTCAATAAAGATACAGGTCTGGACTAAGAAGACGTTTATAAGCCGCCCTTTTATACTTTATAAATCGGTTATACATATTTAAAGGTTTTCGTAAATATATTTTAAATAATTTTATTTTAGTTTAAATTAAATACGGTACTGTTTGGTATCTTTCTACGTTGTACAAAGGCTATCGTTCCGGATTATATGAACATATCACCGGGTGATAGTTTCGCTTGAAGCCGTATCATAAAATCACGTAGGCGTTTACTCTCGGCAGCCCAAACAACCTGCTGCCTTCACAATTGATCCCGAAGCTATCCGAGGCTGGTGACCTCAGCAAGTCTACGATCGGTAAATCTTCCTCGATTATTACGGCGTTTCGAAAGTCTTGTCGTAAATCAAAGACTTTCCTAGACGATGATCTAGAGCGGGAGTGATCCTACGATCACCTCTCGTCAGCGGGTCGTGCATCGAGTGACCCGCTTCTGGAATGTATTATACAAGACAGGTAGATAGATGGATTAAATATTGGTATACGTAACCATCTCTTACTTATAACGTATAAAATGGATATCTTTAATTTAACAGATCCTTTCTGCTCTAACGATCGTTTTCTTCACTTAAATGAGTTATGGCTTCTTGGGTTATTTCTTTAAATCGTTCGAATTCCGATAAGGTCGCTTCCTTCGATAAATATGAAGCCATTACGTGCGATATCGCGATATATCATGTAGTCGGAGACTATATTTCATTTGGGTGCGCTTTATTAAACGGGGGTCCTTTACGTGTATTCTCAATGTAAAAATAAAGGAACTATTAATTGGTTAACTCACACAGGTTCTTCCTGTTGTTCGCCGCCTTTTTCTCTCTGCCCCTCTTGCGATAAATGCCCCTGGTTCGCCTTGGACGGGACGTTGTTGTCCAATTTTACCTAGACAACTAGATTTATCGGCCGCGAGACTACACGAAACCATTAAGGGTAAGCGGATAGCGCGAGGTTAACCGGATGCTCTCAGATTCGTGAGCGAAATTACCTTGTGCTAAAATAATTGCAATTACAATTTACTTGAATCAGTATCAAATTATTATCAGATATTTTATTTTATTAATAGAAAACTTAATTGAAATTCTTTTATTATCTCCGATTCTAATGAATTCTTTTTTTATTCAATTGACTTTGAGGTGATTAGTGTGGTTTCCAGCAACTCCATTCTTCGATCTGGTTTGGATAGAAACAAGCGACGTCTCGTTGAGACAGTTGAATAGCGTAACAACCTCTGCCGCCGCCGCAGCCACCGTCGCCGTCCATTGGCATTATTATTGAGCAAGAGTCCTGCGGCTCAAGCCGAGCAAGGCTAACTTCCAAACGTTTTCTGGGCGCTTTCAGCAGACACAAGTGGAGCGAAGGCGGCTTCGCCTGCCGATATAGTCACGATGGTATATTGTTTTTTCATAGCCCATTTGACATATTTCAACATCTAATATCCATAATAATTAGTTTAATATTTTAATTTTTTGAGTTGATTATGTTTTTAGTTTTGCTAATCAAGTTGTTTTGGTTGCAAAATTTCTATGTATAAATTTACATAGTGTACATATCGGCACAAATATGACCTGTCAATCCGAAGTCATACGTTCGACCGTAAATGTGACACTCATTTGATTGCATTATTCAAAACGGGTAGTAATTTATGCTACCCGTTTCCATATTGGGAAACGGGAGTATTTTATCTCTAATTCAGACATGAAAGGGACCGGCCGTCGTCCGCGCCAGCCTCGCACAGGTCTTTGATATTTAACTAAGCGGTCACCGTCCCTATTTGTTTCAACAAACAACGTTTCAACGCTGACCTATTGGCTTGTCCATTGTTTACATTGTTCTTATTACGCCACATACAAATACGTATTATACCGGCGAGCAGAACCTGGACCATGCAGGTGCAATATCCACGTATATTTTATTTTAAACACGTACCTTTATTGCGCTTATCTAATTTACGACGAGAAAAGAACGTTGTTTATATGAACTTTTAAATTATTACTATCCGGGTAATTACCATTCATTTAAATAATATCCAAAACAATCAAAATAAACTATTCATTTTCATTAGAATCACATTTTATCTCTAGGTTAATACCATTCTCTTTATGTATATATTGTAATGCATAACACTATATAATCTGTCAACTGTCATTGTAGATTAACTCTAAAATTAAGTATTAAGAGTAGAAGTTTCATTAAGTTATGATTCGTTTCTTGTAACATAGTTTGTTGATTTCTTAATGATATTTTAGTTGTAATAGAAGTCATTAGATGGCGCTAATCAAAGTTATGCGATTTTTATAAATTTATAATTTCCACAAAATCTAGTTCTATATGTTTAATTTTGTATATATGTATTAGTTATAGCTGCTCTTCGCCAGAAGTCCACTTCTACTGATGTGAGTGTAACAGGTCCTCTAATTGCTTGGTTATTTACCAAGTTTTCCATCCATACAACACTAAAGAGATGAAAATGGTGGTATATAACCAACACAACCCAAGGATGGAAGTTTATTCTTTATCGTTGAGAATCAGTTCTTCTTTTTTCACCGCCTATGCATAGATACAGTGTTCTGTTCGCGACCAACTCCAGTGTGGCAGCTTTTCCTATTGCCTATTTCATGAATCGGTGTTATCCATCTTTCTGTCCAACTCTCCAGAATATCTTCGCCATTCACAAAGTCTTGAAAGATGATTTCCAGCCTTTCCAGCACTGAGTTTCATTGCTTTCTACATTTATTTCTACTGGATTAGGTTGGGTCCTCCTCTTCTATATGTCACTGGTGATTATATTAGGAATGGCGTCTTTGTTCTGTCAATTCCTTTTCTTGTTCTTCCCATAGCAATTACTTATACCTATAAGTCCACAACCCTCAAAAGTAATTATGTATCTAGTATATTTTTGTATCATCCATATTTTGTCTTTATCACTCTTTTATATTAAGGCAGTTCTGGTGGATATTCGACTTTGTTCTTTGGTGTATCTTGATTTTGCCACTTCTGACATACTAATGCATTAATTGACATTAGCTAATTTCACAGTTATGCCAAAATTAATAAATTTTGACGTTAACCCTTCAAAATATATAATGTCTTGATAACAAATAAAAATTATTAGTTTTACTAAAACCTTATTTCGAAAAATGCGGCAAATATTATTTTTTGGGTCAAAACTTTTTAATCGCAGAGTAAGTACCATATAAGTCGGTTTGAGCTTTGACATTATTAAATGTAATAAAAGTATATAAAACGTTACGCTTTCATCGGGTTTGCGTTAATCACGGATACCATAAAACGTAATCAAAACCCCCAATCTAGGTCCATTCAGCCATCAGGTCGGGCGTATTTACACGGTGTAAGCTTTCATAATGGCCCGTTTACAGTGTGCCGCGGCAGATTACGCAAAAACGTTAGGCCCCATTGTGGCCGGCCGTGCGCACTGTGTGCTCGGCACGCACTTGCCTCTGACTTAATTTATTTGATGATTGTGCGCGCGAGCGCTGATAGCGATCTCGTTGTTCGGTTAAATTTGAATGTAAAAAGGCCCGACCGCCGCCGCTGGTGCCTGAAACCGTTTAGTACGTGTAAATGAATATTAAGAGACGCAATTTTTTAACAGTGATTCAAAGGTACCGAATTTTTTGGTTTTCCATTTAGTCACACGATGTGATGATGTGTTATATTTTCTTGATGAGTAATATTAACGATCTTTTTTATTGATTGAAGGGAATAGCAAAAATTTTAAGATGTTCTAAGATGGCTGCTAGCAGTGACGTTGTTCTTGATAGAGGAAATAACACAACGTGTACTGTTAATTTACACGGTGCTACTGTTGTTTCTTGGAAGGTGAATAATCAAGAACAGATATTCGTCAGCAAAAAAGCTATATTCGATGGGAAGAAAGCAATAAGGGGAGGAATACCGTTCGTTTTTCCTCATTTTGGACCATGGGATTCCGGACCACAGCATGGTTTCGCTCGCATCATGACATGGACTTTGCAAAAACCCCCTGAATGTTTATCGAATGGTGATGTTGAAGCTGTTTTTTCACTACTTGATAATGACTTTACCAAAAAGATGTGGAACTTCCCGTTTCGCCTAACATATCGTTTGACATTGCATGAAAAGGAGCTACATTTTAATGTAGGAGTATGCAACCTAAGTGGTGATGCAAGCATGTGTTTTACCATGCTTTTGCACACCTACTTCCATGTTCCCGATGTCGAACAAGTCAAAATTATGGGTTTGCAAGGTTGTACATATGTTGATAAGGCAAAGGATGGGGCAATTTCTCAAGAAAATCGCGATGTGGTGACGATTTGCCAATATACCGATAGAATCTACCAGAATACTCCACAAGAACATCTCGTTTCTAACGTGATGTCGGGATGTACGATGCGCATCCAGAAACAAAATTTACCAGACACTGTCGTTTGGAATCCTTGGGCTGAAGGTGCAAAGAAAATGGCTGATTTTGGAGATGATGAGTATCCTAATATGGTGTGTGTTGAAGCTGGACATGTTTCTACGGAGGTTACTTTGCCTCCAAACGTTACCTTTGATGCTGGCCAAATTTTACAAGTGATGTAATTTTTAATATACATATTGTTTTTGACTAAAATTTAATAAAGCAAAGAATTAAATTATGTCGTCATGTTATGATTTTTCACATTAAAAGAATTTCACGATATCAATAAGCTTTTTGGCAGACTTTCTAAGATTTGAGTTACAATCTAAGGATCGATATGGAAGATTATGGAGACATTGTGGAAAGATAATGATAAACATGATTTGTTTGTATTTGGAAGATTGCTTCAATGTTGATTGTAAATCAGTAATAGATAGAAATAAATGGCAGAGGAAAATCTATATTTTGGACCCAAAATGAAAATTCAGGCAATAAAGTGTCTTTTCATTTCATCGTTTGATTTATAAAGATAAGAAGTAGTGTTTGAAATTTATTGATACGCCTATATATCCGTTAACTAGTAGATCTGGTTTTGTACCACATCCATAAATCTTTTTACCATCTTCATCTCCTACAAAAAAAAATAAACCAGATAAAAAAGGTTCAAAACAATACCGCTTTTATTTGATCCCCATCTTCCCAGTATTCCATGACCTATACTAATTTACATAAAATGTTCCCATAGTCCTTCCTGAAAACTATAACTTCCCATCCCATAGATATCCTTTTTTCCGTTACCAAACCCTTTCAAAACAATAACTCTAGCATCTAGTCCCATAAATTGTAGCAAGATATTTTTTTTCTTAGTTGATAAGGATAAAACGGCACATCGTAAACCGATTTATTCACTTAATTGACCATTTTTAATCGCCTCGTAATCGTCGTACAGGCCAGAAGAGGACGTGCCGAGAGGTTTTAGAAGCACAACTTGGAACCGGCTAACCAAGAAAGAGACTTGCATCGGCGCGCGGCGGCGTTCTTGCCGGTTCGGGACCTCTAATTTATTACCGTGTTCGAAGTGCCCCCTACAAATCACATTGTTGCTCGCGTGCTCGCTATCTACCGACCTCTTTAATGGAATAATTGTTTCGGAGCTCGAATTGGTCACACTGCAGTATACCACTATGTAAGATTATTGTGCAATGCCGCCTTAACATTAACAGTCTCTACTCTCGGAACTGTCTCTACACTTTATCCTTAAATGCATTAAGTTAACTCGTAAACAACAGTTTAACTTTATTAATTTAATTTTACGAAAAACACGAAAAGAATCTAAAGAATTAATTTATTTAGATTGAAAAATTGATTTCAAAGAGACAAAGAGCATAGGTCATTTATAATAAATGCGCATGTGTCGCAATATACAACCGGTAAGAATCAGATTGTAAGGTGATGTATGGGCGTCTTAACGCGGCGATAAAACGTTTTCGTCCGAAGAGAAAACGGAATATTAGGGCTATTAAGGAAAGATTATTATTACCCGTGAAAACTCGGAAATTGTTTTAAATTGAATCTTAAATCGAGAGTATTAAAGAAGTTTTTACAAATTAAATCGTTTTAAATGACTTTCGTTTTGTAATCTTGACGTAGACATTATACAAAGAAGAAGTAATATCGGGTATTAGCGGTATTACAGAATGATATTTTAGAATTTCAACAACCGGAGATAGTTCATCTCGAATCATCGGGGTAATTAAAGAGCCATTAGAATGAGAAAATCTAAATCTGATGTCTATTCATTCATTTGAATTGATGGATACAATTTGTAGAACCACCTTAAAAGGGGGACTTTGATTTAATGATAAGGCACATAGATGACAAAAGTTATGTCTAAACACGAACTGTTATGAATTTAATTTAATCTTTATCATCACGTACAAATCGAAACGGAAAAGAAACTGTTGTGTATTTAAAGAATTTTTTTTTCTTTTATTTTAATCTGTTATTGTTATTAGACAACTCCCGCAATATTATGTAATCCGTACATAGTGAGGAACTATATAGTGGTGTAACGGTGTGTGTGTGCCAATACGCCTTAGGTAGTAGTTCCTCGGCTGCCAAGTGCCCGTTGCTCGGTCACTATTCTCTTATCTCGGTTCGGTATAAATCTTCGACCGGCAACGTCGAGGAAAGTGCCGATTTGTGCCACAAGCGCTCCCGGCCGTTTGCACACACCGTGCTAAAGATCCGAGAGCGAAGGTGTTTCTAAATACACGCGCGGGAGAGATAATCGATATCGCGAAACGTTTTATAGGCCGGTTAAGTAAGTCACTTGCCCCAAATTAGAAGACGTTTACGGCCTTTTTCACCTCATTATTTATTGCTTGCACGTATTAAATCCGAATGTGGAGTAATACGGCTCGTGCTTATGGATAGATAATTGGAGAAACTTGTTTCGAATCTTTTCAGTACATTTCGTTCATTAAAGTTTGTTTCAAATAAAACAGTTTACATCTTAGATACTTATTCCTTTATTATTACTTCCTTAGTCTTGAATATTCTTCTTAAATTCTTGAAAAATGAAGCTTTGCGTTGGTTTTGTGTTAGTTCTAATGCTAGTGTTAGTTCCAGTTTTAGTTGTTATTCAGCGTTAGAGTGTTGACGCACGGCTAAGCCAGAATGTTTCTAGTTCTAGGTCTACACGGTAAAAAATGGATGTAAAAATACATTATACTACATTAAACTACAAGATTGACTTATGAAATAATACATGAATAAACAACGTAATTTTCGAAATCCAGTTAATACCAAGTAAAATGACAGGAAATTAGTATATTTACAAAATATTAAAATGTTTTTAATATGAATTACACAAAGCATTGTAAACTATAGGAAAAACCTGTAAATAAATGGAAAATCAAGTAAAACAATGTAAATGTATTTAATAAATTGGGAAATCATGTAATATTGTTAAAAATTACTATTACGAACATGTAAAATACGGGATGGCCCCACCACCACTTTCTGCGTTTGCACAACTGTGCGCTTGCAACTACGCACAACGCGTTGACATCATTGTGCCGAGTGCAGTCTAATAACGTATGAATCGTCGAATGTTGTACACGCTCTCTTATAATAATAATAATAAACCACTTTAATCTGTCCATTTAGTGTTTGGTTGTTTGGTGCCCTTTAGTACGTATACAGGTTGTACACAAAGTTTTTGTGTTCCAAGTTTGCCGTCTGTTAAAATTGTAAAAGTTTACACTTTTTCCACTATTCTTTTAATGCTTTTGTACTGTAAAACATTATAACAATTGTGGAAAAACTATTGGCTTTCATAATTTGGACATAAAACGAATTTGGATAAGTAGAACTTCCATAATGACATTCATATTTTTACATTTATTTAAGCTTAAAATTATGTAAATGTACAGGGCTGAATAATGAATTATTACATAGCAGACGAACTACAATATTCATAGCACAAGTAATTTTACATATAAATATAGTCATTTTTACGTATTAATACGTGTACATTACCTGGGTTAAGAAGTAAAATTACATCAATCACAAACGAAAAGTACAAACATAGAAATGGAAAATGCGCTTGTTTAGATATGTATTTATTTTGCTATTACATACGTGTAACTTTTTACATGAATATCCATGGCAATAAATTACCAGTACTGGACCATGTAATTATTTTTTACTGTGTAACCCTG